CATCGTTATAACATAGTTACAACCTATCAAAGTAGCCAATCTACGAGCTAGTTCCCTAAGGGACGCCTGGGTGAATGAGAATTTTTGGGATACCAACAGATGTAACTCCATCGATATATTAATCAGAGCAGTTAGTATAAGTGATAAAAAAATATGAAGATGACCAATCAAACACATGATACATGGTTCTAATGCAGTACCGATGTCCAAAATTGGCTCAAATGAATTAACAACCGGAAGCTAATAACGAGAACCATATTGTACATTATTCATAACCTTATTGAAGAAACTCCAAATTCGAAAATAAAAAATGCAATTCCCATATGCCGGCCCTGAAAAAATACGATGGATGCTACTCCCACACCTAACGCTTAATTTTAGCCACGTTCATGATGACGCGCTTGATGATATTCCCATCCGCTAAGTTAAGGAAGGATGACCTTAGCGTAGTAGACATCAGCCTTAGGGAAACATCCTAATGTCACTGAGTAAATAAAGACTACCGGCTTATGATCGTCTGTAGCACCGATCATACTAAAAATTTACGGAATAACTTTTCCCGCGAAACGAAAGAGATCCAATAGAGCCCGGCCTTTCTTTACTTTCCACATAATCTATTAAACGAGCTCATGAAGGATAGAAAAGGACATCAAAAGGATGAGGGAGAAAACTTGAGTAATGCCCTACACATGCATCAGCTGCCAGGTTTTTCCAAACAGACCGAAGGCTTAAGCAATTTATCTACCCATTAATAACTGAGCAACTGATGTTTATATTGCCGTTTGGAAACAAGTGTGCATAATTCATAAAGACAATTTTAAAGGAGAAGTAGGAGAGGACTTTGAATTGGCAATCAAACTGCCGTAAGCATCAGGAATCGCATAGTGCATGATGCACCTATATGGGACACCAAAGGTTATTCCGAGAGCAAAGATGGATTAGAAACCAACAGCAAAATAGGGTCATATTTCCAAATCAGTAGGTAAAGCACTATAATCGGTTTATTTCATCAATTTGGGTAGTCCAATATTCGAATAGTCACGAGTCACAACAATTGAAATCAGGTGCAATTCTTTAGAAGTGATAGCAACATCGTTCATGTACATGTACAAGACTGTGACACTAACTTTGAGATTGTTTATTTTCAGAAAGCAATTCAGTTAAAGGTGTATCATAATCTTCAATAAAACTTTTATAGTAGGTGGGGAACTGCTTCAGGCATCCCATTAATTTGTAGTGAATGCTCCTGAAGAGTTTTCGATTTTCGTCATGTTTGAATGTATCCTCGTTCCCGACGAATTTATCTACATTTGACATAAAAGATCTAAAAAAATATCCGCAGGGTCCAGACATGTAGCTGCTAACACATGAGCAATGCCAATTAAAGGTTCCATCTCGATTCTTAAAGCCAGGCTTAGCGTACTTTCTGTCTATGTCATAATACTCATCTAATCTCATAAACGGCTTTGCATCCTCCCGACTCAAAATAATAACCTGATGGCGATCAAGAGACATAGAATAGGAATGAGCAGGGCAAAGCACGTAACAAATGCAATTAATTAGCCCGCTAGAATATTAATTCAGTAAACAATATCGCATATATATGCTATATTTAATACTACAGATATGTTTTTGATAAATTTTTTACAATAAAATTTTATTTAAATTTAAATGTTTAGGTAAGATTTTGTTAAATTAATATAATTAAAACCATAATTTTTATTTCATACCTATGCTAAAAATTCGTCCTGGTCTTGTCCACCGTTTCAGATAACCTATTTGTTTAATAATTGTTCTACTTAACTTACATTAGGTAATTTTGCATAGGATATGTTCTATTATTTTGTTATGGCTCTAATTGGCCTCAGATTGTATATAATGGATTCGATGTGTTTGGTAATAATTTCAATATTCGTTAATAAAGATCTAATTTTTAATTAACGCGCATTTAGTAGAATTTGGCGTTTAAAATTATCACCATGAGATTAATAAATCATTAAAGGAAATGTTCATTTTAAGATCATAGCGTTATTTATCTATTATATCATTTTACCTCGTTAATATCAGTTATATTAACTCTTCCAAAAAATATAAATGTTTTGCGCTTCCAGATGAGCTATTGGAATTTAAGTTTGAAAAATGCTCTATTTTATTCGAGAATAGCCCCTAAATCTGTCTTTCTTAGAAGATAAAAGGGGATCCATTATGTTCATATAGATATCGTTTACTCTTTATAAAACAGGTTCAAAATTACCGATAGGAGTCTTAATGTGTCTATTAATTTTTTGGTTTTTTCGATACATTGGGCATGATTTAGTCCATATACCGAAAACTACTTGCATCTCTGGCTTGATAAAACAACCTGCGATTGGTTTTTTAAAAGTTTATATGCCCGAATTCGCCAAAGGATGTTAAATGGTATCAGAGTTTATTCTCGACATGTAGACACGTTAGATCAATTATGAGCACCTCGGAGATTCCCAATTGTGCCGTAATCAGAATAAGCCTCTTTCAGCTTTGTTTAGCTTACTTCCATTTCGAGTGAAAGTGTTGGGTGAAAATATTTGAAAGTCTGTTCCACCAGAAGACGACGGCGGATTCCTCTTGACTAGTTGTCGATTGGTTTTATTGAAAGATTCATGCTGACGCTGTTTCCGAGGCAATCTCCTTCGATTCCGGTAAAAACGTGTTAAGCTTTCATCAATCATATGACGGACATAATCAGAGTAAGGTAACATTGTCACAACAAAACTCAAATTAACAAGACAAGAAAACTGACCGTAAAAACCCTAAAAAGTGGTATATATACTCTACATCTGACCTCTTTGATCAAGTATAAAGTGATTTGGTTAATTAAGATCATATGTCAACTTAGATGCATGTGAGTGTGCCTGTCTCTGTATTTGAATGTGCCTGTTTGTGTTTGCTTATGCAAGAAACACAAAGTGCTGGCTCAAAGTAATTAGGACAGCAAAAAGGAACGTCTGTTTTTGACCATCAAGGTTTGATGAGCCCTATTTCCTCCTTTCTACATGTAAGTTATAACTAGTGTTCCGATTGCCCAAGGTCGGACACATGTCTGGTATTGCTGATGAGCCTATTTTTTGTTTTTGTTCTCAATACTAGAGCGAAAAAGTGAGCTAAAAGTACAGGGAATTTACTATCATTAGAACCAAAACAAGAAAAGGCTTGTTGCATCGCTTCTTTTTGTAGGTAGCCCAACTAACTCTCTATTTTTCAGTCTATTAATTAAGCATAAATAGTTTTTACTTATCTTCTTACTGGTATTCCTTACATTCAAGTTATTTCCTATTCCGTTTATTTATATGCCTTCTCTAATTTTACGTTCAGCCGCAAACATACCATAATCATCAAAACGACAAGTTTGAGACAATTTATTCTCGTGTCCCGTTTATGTCCTGTGCTCAGCAAGCTCCGATTTTCGAACCCAACAGCCCTTGCAGGCGCTTTTGTGCTCAGCCATTTTTTTCGAATGGGACGACAAGTCTCTCCAACATAAAAGCGACTACATTAACACATTATTTTGTAGCGACCCGATCTGGATAATGGGTCAATGTTATTTCTAAAAATTGGAGTCGAAGTTTCCCTAAAGACCGTTTTTATTCCTAGTTTCCTTAATTGTTTACCTGCCCTTTGAGAGAGAATGCCCGAATTTAAAGACAAAATATGGGAAAAGGTCTCCTTATCTCTCCTTACATATTCACCATTTAAAAACCTATTCTTTATTAATCTGAAGTTATTTTTAATCAAGCCAAAAGGATAGTTTTTCTCAAGAAATATTATTTTAAGCCGATTCAGTTCATTGTCACAATGGTCTATATCGGCTAGACTTATGCTAAGCCAGTTCATAAAGCACTAACACTCAGCCTAGATGAACACCCAGAAATTATTGAGGAGGCAAAGACTCAATCTCAAGGCTTCTGAATATATCCATGAGCAGCACTTTCTTCCCCTTTAATGATAAAGTTTATGAACAAGTTCAAGGCCTAGCAA